TTTTAAATCCTTAAATTCTTGAATCGAACTGAAATCCATTCAATACTGAAATAGCGGTAAATATTATATGTATAATAACGCTTTTAACATACCCCATCCAATCCAAATTTATGAACAAAATTTATAACATTGCTGACGAATGAAGTACGCTCGGTTTTATTACTTGCGAAAGGTTGTTTGCTTTTAAGATCATTATTTATGTTGAGATTCCCTGATAAAACAATCGCTAAAAATATCTGTGAAAATTGAAATTACTTGTGAGACAAATAATTTCCTCATAAAATATAGACTTTTTATTTGGCGTTATCATACTTTGGTATTTATTTTATTGTCATTTCTGTATTGCACCGTCTTATTTAAATAAGTATGATAACCTGAAAAAGGCATTTCTTTATTTGATGTATCGTCTGTTTTAAATGCTATCATACGGGGATAGGATACGGTGGATGTTAAAAATACAGACATAGCTCATTTAAGCGAAAAATTTTTTTTTAACATTTCATACCGATCCAATTCATATGAGTAATATTCCATGGTAATTTCGAAACATCTAATGTGTAATCATAATTATAACCATAAACGTATCCAACGGTTATTTTAGAATTTTTTTCTTGTTGAGTGGCTACAGAGTTTGGACATGAAAGATCTTGGGAATTGTTAAATGCATAGGAGGGTGATATTAAAAAGAAATGAATGATGATAAAGATTGAAAATACGTTAAAGGAAAGTTGGGAAAGTAATTTAATCATTTTTGAAGTTATTTAATTAACGGAAAAATCTTTCCCATCCTTTTATACTAAAAATAAAAGATTTATTTGTTACCAAATACAGAGAAACAGCCTTAAGTGCACGTATACATGCGGCAAAACCTATTTCGGCATTGATTTTTGATATGAAACCGTTGAGTTACCAAGGCGGTTCATATTAAAATCAATGCCGAAATAGTTTTACGGCATATATACTCTATGGGAACAGAAAGTGATTTATAGAGGTCAAGTATTTTCGGTCGGAATTTAAGGGTGCATTTAGGGAAGTTTTACATTTAGTTCTTAATATTCGGAAAATTCATAGAATAAATAATTAGAGTACTGTAGAAATAATAACTAGGATCTAACAGGAGGAACCGTCGATGTAACATACTGTAACTAATCCACACTTGTATGCAGCACATAAAAAAAGTATTTTACAATACCGGATCATTCCGCTAGTAAATGTTACGATTATAATCCCTCACCAGGTAAGGGATTATAATCGTAACATTTACTAGCTGTCATTTCCTCATATGTGTTTAGATATAGAGGGAAGCCACTCTACATTAAAGATAACCTAAAGTTACAGTAATTCGGTTATAATTCAAGCACTACAAGGCCCCAAAATTGAATGTTTCGCATTCATACCCCGTGACATAATCTAGAGCACTAATACTCGGGCCAAATCATTCCACGTCTCGATCGGTAGCCTTCTATTATTAGGGTTTAATAGAGGAGTTTTGAAGTATTAATATTAGTACAGTATTAGTTTGTGACTCTTGATTAGATTGTTTGTATTAAATTTTTGTAGTCTCATTATAAATTGTATCACGTTACTTATGTACATTCTTTGTGACGGGAAAATAATTCAAAACAAACACAAAGAAAAAACAAACAAAACCTCATGTCGTGTAAGTATAAAGCATAATTTAATTCATATAAACTTTGATTTTTGAATGTAAATTAAATTTGTGCTGTTAACGGTTTGTATACCAATTTAGTACAAATAGACGTTAGCGTTAGTACGTACGTACGTACGTACGTACAAATAGACAGTAAAATTTATAGTCAAATTTGTACGTGACGTGACAATCAAATTTACAAATTTGTAAAGTTGGCTCCAAAAGTTTAACACGGTTACACGAAAACATGACACAAAATCTATAATAATTATACATATGGACGGATTGTGCTCATTTTGTGATATTAAAATTGATCACATTAAAATAGACAAATCAAATAATTACAAATAATTATGTATCATCTGTCAAATCGCATGAATTTGATTAACTATTATTTGTACTGACTTGGTATATAAAACCTGTAATTTAATTCTAGTTAGCTTTTTATTTAATTACAGTAAAAGTTTTACAATTGAATTAGAATCGGTCTTTTAACGTACAATATAAAACACCACTGTTTTGTTAGTAGTCAATTTATAATTCATAATAACAGACCATAAGGTCATGTGTGACAGAACATAACCAACATTGACTGAGGTAAATTAACGTGATTGGTTAAAGTTAACATTAGATTGGGATTGGTTAACTAATGCCGTACAGGTACGTACCCCGGGTATAATACAATCTACAGCCAAAATTTGTATAATACCTGATATCTCCTGGGTATTTTATATTCCATCACGAAATTTTTTAATATGAATATTTTGCATAGGTGGGGTGCCGTGGTCAGTGCTGTACGGTATTAATTACATGAACATGACTACTGTCCATAAGCACCTCTGCAAACTCTACACAAAGAAGTCCGAACGTAACATAAATTTAATCATTCCAGTTCATCAGAATTTTTGTTGGTTAACTAGTGAAACCGAAAAAAAATTCGTATTACGCAAACGAAAAATTTGTGCCAGGTTTTGTCGATCATTGTGGCCAGATCTCTGGATCAACAAATCAATCAGATTTCAAGTAACAGGTATAACGTAACACGATCAGAAACCTAAACAATCTCAACAATCTCAACAAAATGGACCTAGTCCAACCGTTATTGTTAATTTTGTACCATCT